ACCTGCCAAGACATGACTTCCTACTTAAGCTGACAGGCTGAATAAGGAGGGCATTAATCAGAGAATCAGCCAAGAAGCCTTTGGTAATTGTGGTAACTCGTCTGAGAATGGAAACAGTATGGCTCAACTGAATGTCTATCAAAACATAGTCATTAAGCTAAATTAAGACAAATAGAGTATAAATCAGAAGAGCAGTAATGGTAGCTCTGAAGAAGCCAGGAGGAGAATGTGCCGACAGGGAAATTATTAGTTTTGTACTCCACAACCCTGCTAAAGAAGTGGCTAAAAGAAAGTTTTTAATGAAAGAAAGACATAAAAGATCCTGGTTGCAGTTTTCCACAATCACGTGGAAGACGTTGCCCTCATCATATGACCTGGATATTTTCCCAGACTTTGTTCAGCTGGAGCTCAAAACTGCAACATTGTTACATTTTCAGCTGCTTTGCTTTCACACTGCACTGTCAAACTAAACCCTTCAAAAAAACATCTGTTCCCCTCCTAGCCTGTGAAGGAGCTGCACTAAGAACCACTGAAGAAAATGACACAAAAACCTCTGAAGAAGATACAGAGCGCAACTTTCTTCTTCATAAAATGTAAACAAAAATGGAGTGGCGTCAGATTTTAGCACTTGTAGGATTTCTCTTTTGTCTTTACAAAAGACCACTAGCCATTTCTTATGCATTTATTTTGGTTGTTTTTACCCAGAAGGCCCTGCTCTGTTGTGCACTTCCTGCTTTTGGAGCAGTCTTGTTTGCTGTTCACTTCTGCATTCAAACTGCGTCAGAGTGATCTTCAATGAAACTGAGACCAAAAGTTTTAGATCAAAGTTTGTTCTTTTAACAATTAAACCCTTAAGTTTAGTTTATTTAAACCCTAAAATCATTTTGACCTCCATTAAAAACACACCGACCCACAGGGTGAAACGTGGTGGCGGAAGCTGCTCAGAGTTGATGGAACGAAACACAGGAACCCTGGAGGAAAACCAGACAACAACTCTAAACATTTAGCCAGAGCTACCTGGTGTGGCTCTAAGCATATTAATGACAGAATGGCCTAATTAAAGTCCAGATATAAATCCAGTTGAGAATTTGTGACAAGAATTAAAAACACATGTCAGATGTTCTCTGTCCAATCGGATGTAACTTAAGCAATGTAACACAGAATAGATTATTGGCTGTGCAAAGGTGGTAGAGACACAAAAGACTTAAACTATCATTCATTATAAAAGTTATTGACTCAAATGCATCCCACACTTTTCAGATACTTTGTTTTCCTTATAAATTCGGCCGAATATAACAAACTTTTAAGGAGTTTGTAATTGGAGGCCAAAAAAGGATTTTGGAATGGAAATGATCAGACATGGGTTAGTTGTCTTCCAGCATAATAGGGAATTTCAATCAGTGATCTTAAGCTGTACAGAGATGTGTTATTAACTACAGCTTCCTCCTATAGCTGCCCTCCTTACAGCCAAGTCTTCCTAAGACATGTTTAATTCAAATATCTTAAATATCTTCGGCAACCAGAACTCCAGCCCATTTGGTGATTTTACCACTTTGTGTGCTGTACAATGGCTGCTGGAAAATAGTTTTGTTGTTGACTTACCATCCAGAAACCAGTTGCTGCATTCTAGTTGTTTGTGCAGGAGGATTTATTAATGCTTTTCAACGATGTACAGTTGTAGAATTGCACATCAGTTTGCAGATGTTTTCACATGTGAGTGTAAACGTTGAGTTGAGGGGCATGACCTGCAGTATCTTATTTGGATCTAAAGTGACAGAGGCCCTAAAACAGCTCAAAATAGGCAGAACCGAGCAGACTAAAATTTTACTATCTAAGAACGATAAGGCCCGTAGATCTATCCAAACTTGTTCAAGGAAGTAGATTGGATCAAAGCTAAAACAATCATTTGCATTTTACCTGAGAAAGCCCAGTCAGCATTTGTCATCCTGTGTCAATAACTGAAAACAATCACTCGCTTTTTTACGTATGACGTATGGAAATGGGGAAAAGGCATGAAGAGACACGGTATTCCTGAACTGCTGTTTCAGTAAGCGCTCCACTGTAAGGCAGCGTGTGTTGACTCAGACTTTGCACAGTCACTTGGAAAGACCTGACTCTCCTCAATTTCAGGAATTTCCTGATCCCCGCAGGGCCCTAGCAGAAAATCATCTGCAGGCTACGAGCCATGGGCCCTCCCTCTACTCCCACCCTCAGCTGGCCTGGGAAGTTCCAGGTTAATAACTAAACTGAGGACGCATGCTGGAAGAGTCAGCAGGGCAGGGCAGATGTACTTTTTGGACTGCTTCAGATTGTAAACTCAGCATTGTCCGGTGTTACTCTGAGAGCGGAGACTCTACAAAGCTGTCACGAATCAGTTTGGAAAAAGAAGAAAATAATTTTGTATGGCCTGGCGTCCAATGTGTCACTCAAGATGTTTATATTTACAACAGAACAATACCCCTAACCACAACTTACATGAGTCATGGCAGTCCTGTCACATAGACTTCAGTTTCACTAGAAACAAGCGTGGCTTTGAAAGGACTTCCGGCGCTTGGCTACACCTTGATTGTAGTTTTCCTACAGCTTGTTCTAACTTGCTGGTGCGCTTGACGTCAGACCAACACTGTTGGGAGTGCTATTACTCACTAAGTTGCATTCTTGAACAGCACGTACCAGCGCATCCTTCTTTCCCAAACAGGAAGTGCTCGCCAAGACGGTTGCTAAATCATCTGCGCTACACCCCAATGCGGTGGAGTTTCCTCAAGCAGACGCAGCAGCCTGTCTCTGGACAAGTTCATCTTCTCTTTTTCTTTCCAAAGTTCACCCACCCGGCCCCCAGCTCCGCGTTTTTACATCAGCCTTACATATGTTTGCATAAAACCCACATTGGGGACCAAAAAAAGAAAAAAAACGAAAGAATTTATCTATGACACCTGTTTCAAGAGCGGCCAGAATAAATATTGGAATATAAAGTCCAGGTTTTAGAGGAAAGGACATTTTTATTTAAATAATAGAAAAAACAAAACGGCATGAATACTAGAAATTAATGGAAAGTGTGACAAACAGGCTGACACTTCAGCTCATGCTAAAAAAATTAATTTTCTTACCGCAAAACACAAGGTTGTTTTGCAAACACAGGTACAAAGGACGAAAACAGGAAAGAATCCAAAACAGAACAGAATATTATGACAACAAGAGGCCGTTTGTACATCTCAATAGCGCTACCGTGTGGCGAATTCACAACATTACATCTTGAACTTCAGGAAGAATTTATAGAACAATATCGCCCCCCGCTGGAGTCAGTAGTTTAGAGTCTGTGTGGCATGCCGTTTTGACATAAAATCAGTTTCACAACGCTGACGTTTCAGATATCTGAAATTAGTTATGAGAACACATATTTTACGGAGTATGTAATAGGGCCATGCAGGGAAAAAAAAAAAACATACGTTTTTCTCACAATTCTGACTTTTGATATCAGAGGTTTAAAGTAAGAATAATATTTTGTGGCACTAACACTTCCAAAGATATTAGTTAGGTCTAGACTTCTCCAATTATATTCTTAGAAAAACTCTTAATTGAAGTATCTGATTTCTCAAATTTGACATTGAGATATCTTGAAAGGCATTTGTAATCTGTCAAAATTGTAATCGACTTGAAAGAACAATTCAGTTTAAATTTAATGCGGGTGTCTTAAATTACCAATTGGAGTTGTCAGAATGTAGTTGCACCTTGTCAAAACAATTTTTTTTCACCAGCTGGAACGTAATTACAGGTGGCAAAACAAAACTGATTTTATGATACCAAGGCTTGCCATAGCCTTGAAACCGTAGAGAGAAAACTACAAGCCAATCAGAACCTGTCACTACCAACCACGTGAGAACGTTCTGGCTCCTTATTGGTCAGATGTGCCCGGCGGGAGAAAGAGCATATAAAAGCAGAAGCTGTATTCCGAGGAAAACAAAGACACCTTTTTGACATAACTGAGTAATTTTTTAAAGCTAAATTATAAATGTAATTCTTAAAAACATGTGGTACATTCTTAAAAACATGTGGTACATGTTGTGGTACAAAAAATAGGTTTCCATTTATGAACAGTTATTTTTGCAATCATCTTAGTTTTGGAGTAAGTAAACCACATAGATTGACCTATTTTTACTCAAACTAAAACGTTCAGCTCAAATAATAAAATAATCAAACCCAAAAACTTTGAAACTCTTGTCTTATGAAAACGCAAAAGTGCAAAACCTTTATGAGCACATAACTTTAAAAATGGAAGAAAAAATACTTTTTGGAGCAATATTTTTAATCGATATTGAGGAATTATTTACTTAAAACAAGCTCCAATATCTTGTAAGTTAGTTTTATTTCAAATGTGTAAAGACATTTGCACTAGAAACTAGACAAAAAATACCTTGTAAGATTTAATGCTTTCGCAGCGTAGAGAAAGTGTTGGAAACCTGATGAATGAGGAGACGATGTTTCCTCATAAATCTGAAGAAAAACTGGACATTTTTTTCCTTTATTTTCTTTATTAAAAATGAAAACAACAAATGTAAATAAAAAAATATGTTTCTAAGCTCAGCATACGTATAGAAAATGGGAAAATGTGGTGCAATTACTGCACAGGTGCTGAGGTTTTAATCCGTTAAAGCAGAAAAAGAACTCGGCACACTTAAAACCTGATCTGAAATATATATATATATGCTTATATATAAATTTAATAAGGGTGTGTCCTGCAGCGAGGACGTTCATACATTCTAAGGAAAGGTACAGCTGTCGGACAAAGTACTGAACTCTGTCTCGTCCCAAAGGTAAACGAATGGTAGCAGCTCAACTAATCTCTTATTTGGACAAATCTGTCGATTCACAAACGCAGCATGCTTTAAAAAAAAAAAAAAAACTAACAATCATAAAGAAGAACACGGCCAGCTCAGGCTCACACCATGACACAATGAAAAATCTGAACAGTGCATCGTTTTCATCCCTGTGCTGGTGTTTGATTCTTTTTTTTTTTGGTTAGTTTTAAAATCCCTGGTCCCACGCTCAACCTCAGAGACCTACACATACCTCTCTACAAACTAAAATATCACTAAGAAGTTCATTTAGCTCAGTAATTCAGTTCACAAAGTGATAAATATAAAGCATTTCATTTGATGAACTTTCATGACGAACTGGTGAAAACGAGTGATGCACGATATATCGGGACAAACATCGGCATCGGCTGATTTTGGTCATGTTATAACATCTGTCCGTGCGATAAATAAAACCAGGCCGGTATTAACAACCAATATTTGCTTTCATCTTGTTGGCATTTATTTCTATCAAAACAGTACAGAAATATTTATAATATCAGTAAATATGGTTTACCAGCAATATAAACGATACTGCTGATATCGTTTGTATCCGATGTAGATATCGTCCCAAATTTTTGCATCTGTGCATCCCTTGTAAGCCCCCAAAACTCAGGTTCAAACTGCACAATCAAAGAGACGACTCCTGTCTTGCACCGTCATTGGCACATGGTTATGTTGGAAAGTTAGGTGGAAGGAAAAAGGTGCACAAGCAAGTTTAAAGTCAGAGCAGAAATCTTTGAAGACCTTTTAGAGCCCGATGATAAATTCACATGATCAAAACCTCAAAAAGGAATCTATGGAGTTGAGAAGAACTAAATCCTGACAAAGTATTTTCTTTAAAACCCTGGCAGAGCCACAGGCTCATCTTACATCACATGTGAGTTTGGCTTTTTGAACTGAATCACTGAGATGAACAGACTTCTTAACGATATTTTAATTTACGTGAAAGGACACCACACGTCCTTTTTTTTATTGCTGGCAAATAGTTGGGTGTGAGCTACTCTGACCTTTCGCTCGCTTTACAAGGCATGTCAGCTACCTTCAGGTGAGGTTTTTACATCGACTGTGAAACTACGGACAGTATGTAGAGCCATGTGTTGTGATCCATCTCAGGATTAAAATAAAATAAAATAAAAAAATAACACGATTCTGCCTGGAAACTGGAGGAGACACGTCACCCTAAAAAAAAAAAAAAAAAAGCATCTAGTACTTACTGTAAATGTTGCATTAATAGATAGTTCCCACAAGACCGGACTGGAAGTAATTTACCCCGGAAGGCGCCATCTTGGTAGGCAACTGGTAAACAGTGTTACCGAAGCTTAAATTAGTCTTTTTGCGTCTTTTTCTACTCTTCAGGAGAACTAGTTCAGTGTCTAGCTTTAGCACATCTTATGAAAATAGTCGTTTGTGTTTTCTGACGGCCATTCAATGATCTGATCGCGTTTCTGTATGTGTGCTTGTGAATAAAACTGATCCGTCTCTTTCTATTGCGCAGAGTGTAAATGTAAAACGGCACTAATCCTTTTCATAAGATGAAAATCTGATTAACGACATACAGTCTACTGCTTCTTTCTCTATCTGCTATTTGTGACGCATAATAACTGGAATGTAAAATTAATTAAGTTTATTGACATTATATGATTGTTAATATGGTCACATAAGAAGTAATCGCAGAGACTGAATGTAATTTGGATTTTTTTTTTGTTCTAGAGGAACTGTGTATTTGGACATCCTCACTTTATAGTCATGTTTCATAACTTTGTGCAAATGAATCAGTCATGAAACTCTGCAGGTTTTCCAACAAAATGAAGTTTTTACAACAATCAGTTCAATACGCCGTTATTGATTGACAGAACATTTGAAAATATTATTAGCACTAATAAAGTGATCAGAATACGTTTTGTATTATATGGATTGTGCTTCCTCTGGACATTATCCAGCCGCTGTCATCGATGCTAACGCTGCGTTCCAGTTGAACTCAGAGCTGGGAAATTTCGACTTCCCGTTTGGGATAAACCAACTCCAACGTTCTCCGAAGTGGGATTTCCACTGAGGAAACCGGGAGCAGCTCCAACTAACCCCAGTTACAACTTGCAAGGTGGGCTTTGCGGTTCAAAATTTCCGCTCCTGGCATCAACATTTAAAACGTGGTGGAAATATGTTAATTTTACGAGACACAAGCGGAATAGAAGTGCGTCTAAAATCAATGCCACATGTAAGCGCCTGAAACTACAAAGAGTTTTTGCAAACAATGTTTGTGGGCGACACCATTCTAAAATACAGACTTCTTAACTAGTTAACTTTTCCCAGGTAACTGGAACGCAACACAAATAGCAAAGTTTGCTCATCTCTACAGGATGTAATGAGAACTTCTTCACTGTTTTATCGCCTTTGTATTTACACCCTTAAATGTAACAATATCCAAACATCACTTATGCATAATTAATAAAGTGTTAAAACTGCCTCCGTACTATCAAGATGGTGTTGGAGCACCAGGCTGTAGGAATCGTGACGTCATGTGGGAACTATCTATAGTTTTCACTGAATAGATTCACAAATGTACAAATATTAGGGCCATACTAAGAAAAAGTAAAATTACAAGAGTAAAGTCATGTTACGATAATAAAGTCGTAATATTTTGAGAATAACGTCATGATATTGCAAAAATAAAGTTGTAATATTAAAAGAATAAAGTCATAATGTTACAACTTCATTCTCGTAATTTCATTTTAAATTATTTTCCAAGTGGCCCTAATACCCCGTCGTACAAAGGAATAAAAAAAGCATAACTAGTGTGCAGAGATCATTGAAAATCCACACTTTCATTCATAAACTCTTTGTGTGAACAAAGCTTCTCCCTTAGTGACATGTTTTCAGTCCAGCTTGATCAAAATCATGATCAGCCTGTTACTAAACGTGTTCAGGATAAAAATGGAAAAACATTCAAAGGTGTCATTTTGGTAAATAAGAAAGAAGAAGCGTGTAAATTAGGCGGAGGTGCTCAATGCAAACCCCTTCGCCTTAGCAGACCGACGTTTGTTTTATGTTGCGTTTGCGTTTGGGTCGGCACACACACTCAGCCCTCCCCCCACACACACACAAACACACACGTACGTTTATTTAGGATGATGTGGCACCTGAAAAAGCGAGGCCCTGAGCGTCGGAGATGGCGTACACACAGAAGGTTTTGGGTAAAGAGAGGCAGCCGACCGTTTACAACATGATCACAGGAGAACCGCGTCGACGCAGGCTGACCGGCCAGCCGAGTCCACATCATGGAACGAAAGAGAAAAGACGACAGGAAGGAGGAAGGACAGACATCAGTGGAAATAGACGCGGTAGCAGACGTAAGCGCTGAGGGCCAGCGCCGTGCCCAGGCACACGTGGGCCGTCAGAGGGGACCAGGCCCCCGGCACAGGACAGGTTCCCTTCTCCCGCTCTGATCCCTCCGTCCCGTCCTCCGCCGCCGCCCCCTGCTGGGGTTTCCTCGGAGCGCCGGACGTCAGGTCTTCGATTCCCACAGGCCCGTCCCGTCTGTCCGGAGGCAGCTCCGGGGCGGCTGGGTTTCTGTTCCTCAGCTCTGTGTCTGCTGGAGACCTGGAAGACCAAACAGCAGAACAAAGGTTTAATTTCCCTTTTAGCCGATTATTATGGTAACTGTCCACTTCGGTCGTTATAAAAATCAAATATCACTTAAAAGATATTTGACTTGGTCATTTAATTTAACCTTCTGTCTCTTTAAAAAAAAAACTCCTGCTCTTTCTGAAACTCCGCCTTCAGCACACCATCACAACAATGCTCCTCCATGATGCCGTTTATAGCCGTTCTTAGCTCAGCAGACTCGTAGTTCCAGTTGCTGCTGCCACTAGTCTGGAGGAGCTGACAGGCTGAATGGTTGCCATGGAGACTAAAGGATTTCTCATGCATGTTTTAGATGAGGAAGCAGCAAACAGTCACTTTCCCACTGGTGGTAAATCTCACGAGAACGTTTGTAAATGGCTTCATGGAGAAACGCTGTGATGAAGGCGAAGTGCCAGAGAGAGCAGCAGGAGCTTCTTAAAGAGACAGAGACCCAATTTCAAGGCGTCAAATTTCAAAGTTATGTTTGATGACATGTAGCATTTTTTTAATAACAGCTGAAGGAGACAGTTTCCTGATTTTGCTATAAAATGAAACTATTTGCAGATTGTTTGAAAACAGTGTTCTAAGTTTTCGTATGATATTAGGAAAACATGCGATAGTATTAGAGAAAGTCTTGACTAAATCTGCAAATAATTACAACATGTTACTTCCTTACATAGTGCAGAGTCAATGATTTACTAAGAAAAGTTGCTTTGTGCAACGTCTGCTTCTCTACTAAAAAACACATAAACTAACCCTAAAGTTAAAGTGTCAACAGGAAAACGGAGCTTGAGCCTAAATAATGATCCAACATTCATTGGAGTCCAGGCACTTCTTCATGATATGCAAAATATTGAGATCACAATAGGTGCAATACATAAATTATATACATAGATATGTAGATATAGAAGTGGTCGCAGATGACAGATAAATGATGCAGCATCGTTTCCTCTTAAGCTCTACAGGAGGAGCAAAGACTGTGCTACGTTTTCCACACAGCTTCTCCATTTTGGTTTCATGTCATGAAAAATGACGATGTTAAATCTGCTGTGCGTTTCTGAACACTTGAGGTTAGATTTAAATCAACTTTAAGCCTGATAAAGATCAGACCGTCTTTATTATCGTGACCTGATGTGTAAAACCTGATTTCATGACTTTTTATGTAAGTTATAAAGTGGCTCTGATGGGGAACAAAATCAACACCTAACAGGTTTTTAGCTTAGTTTATTTCAAACACAGAGTATCATAATATAACAGTTTGATAACTGTTTGAAAATGAAGTATAATTTTTTTTCATATGTATTACTTTGCTCTTTATTTGAAGTATATATACAAACTTTTTATACAGAAATGTGACTGCTTCAATAAAAAGTTCATTTAATTCCGTTTTAATTTTTATTTTAGTTAAGTGTGGTTACTATCACTCAAAGCTTAAACTTTAGCTTCTAAGACACAAAATACTAATTCAAAGTGTCAGCAGAAAGTCACGAAGTATCACTGGAAAGTTAAGTGGAAGGACGAACATCTGGTGGAAAAAAGCGTCAAGTGGACTTTAAGAAAACATTTTTGTCAAAAACCCACCAAAACGATGATTCATGACAGGAAGTGTTGTGATTTATCGATGTCAAAATCACATTTAAAATCTTTGCTACTAGTTTCCTCATAGCATTCTTATCATTCAACGATAAACCATCTCAGGTGCAGCCGGCTCCCTCACCTGTCCTTACTGCAGCTGCTCTGTGTCAAAATGACTTCATGCGTCTTGTTTGTGTTTGCCGATTGGCCCACAGAGCCAGCCGAAGGCAAACCAAATTTAATTAGTGAAATAAAACAACTAATTCAGGAGTTTTCAAAGTGAGGGTCGTGGCCCCTGGAAGGGCCACCAGAAGGTCTTAGAGGGGCAAAAAGAAAAAATTGACTGAATTGAAATTTTTGTAATCAAAATCTAGTCTATTGTTCCAATTAATAATATATATGCAAAAATAATTTGTTGAAATGTTACTTCCAGGTTGTTTCTGACTGGTTGCTCTTTAAGCTAGCATAGCAACTGTAAAATGGACAGAAAAAAGACTGAAGGATGTGATAATTATTGAATAACAAACAATAAATAAATTAATCGCACAATAAATTAAAACAAGCTTAATAATTTCCATTTGTATGATTTATTGTTTTTCTCGTTTCTATCAAAAAACTCGTGTTTTGGTCTCAACTAGCTTCTTTTTCTGAATGACAATTTTGTTTACAGAGGCTTCATAATTCATTTTATTTGTTGTTTTGCTTATTTGTTTTGGATATTTAAAATATCTTACAGTTCCAGTGTTAAATATTCATTAAAATTTTAACTTTATTTACCTTTGAGAATGTGTTCTTGCATTATATCATGTCTTTAAAATGGCCTCAAAACAACAATATTATAATTTATCGCAATAACTTTTGAGAATTTAAAGTTTGTTACCATGGCAGGCCTATTGAACAGCGAATAAAAAGTTTGTGATGCAATAATTTCCAGGATTAAAGAAGATCTAAACCAGAGTGAGTCTCTCAGATTATGCAGAGCTGCTATCATTTTAAATCTCATCTCTTCTGCATCTGGCCGCCTCGTTCCTGTAAATCAGTCTGACTTGAGAAACAGGTAGACCGAGAAAAAAATAAAAATAAAGAAAAACTAGAGTTATAGATGAATGCACCCCTGATGGCATTCATGAAAAACGGTTCTGAGGAAAGGAAGGAAGATTATGAGGCAGATTACCTGCATTAAACTGACTCTGGATTGGAGTAAATCTGGATTGAGCGCCACAGTTTATTCATAACAGCTGAATTCACTCCAGGTTTAGAGCTGCTACTAAAAAAAATAAAATAAATCTGCTTGTGTATTTTCTAACCTTATTTTACTCAAACTTCACCAGATAATGGTGATTTAATGCAAAAAGAAAAAGTCTACATCTCAATAAATAAGAATATTATTGATTATTATATCAGAAACTCCATGCAAAATGTGAAACTGATGGTTCCTTACACACACAGAGCGACATATTTCTGTTCATTTTCATTTCAATGACATGGGGAAGTGCTGACATGAAAGCTGCAGCTATTTACCGCCCGGCACAAACCACGAAAGGTCATTTCCAGAGAAGCCTGCTGTTCACAAACCACAGAGTCCAAGCATTTCCGTGGAAAGTTCAGTGGAAGGAAGAAGTGTACTTGAGAGAGGATAACAGTTTTAAGCAGAGGTACGTCAAAAATAAGCTACAAGATTATTAAAAAGTTGATTAATTTTGGTAATTTAACCCAAGCTGCCGTATCCAAGCATTTTCATTGAAAGTTAAGTGGAAAGAAAAAGTGTTAGGACCATGTAAGGGCCTAAAGAAAACATGAAAGTTGTCCCACAGACACCTGCACAAGCTAGAAAATGTATATTCCAAATAAACTTGCTGCAGCCAAGAATTTCCATAGAAAGTTCAGTGGAAGGAAAAATTTTGATTTAAAAACACAGTACCAAGAGAGGATGGTATAGCAATTTTAACCACATCTAAAAATAAACTACAATATCATTAAAAAGGTGATTAATTTCACCCAAAGCTACATCAGATTCGTAACTCACATGTAGACGATTTTGGCTTAAAGTAAACTAACGTCCAATTACAAGTTCCTTTTTTTTTTCTAATTAAATTTAAAAATAACTCTTTGAAGATTTCCTGTTATTGAGATGCATGTGTAGATTTTTAGGCCAGCATTTCGGATGCTCACCTCAGTTGGGACGTTTCCACAGGCTGGACGAATTCTACGTCATCTGGGAAAAAACATGGCTGCACTCGGCCGTTGTGAGGGTCTCTGGGAGGAGGAAGAGGAGGCGGCGGGGTGAACTCTGGAGGATCATCTTCCTCATTCGACAGCTTTTTCCATGACTCCTAGGAACAAAACAGAAATATACACGTTATTTTTAAGAAAACATCTTTAAAAATTTGAGAAGAGGAGAAGAAGAACCTGCCTGGAGAGACGTGTCTCCTTTGATGTACTTGGCACCTTCAATCACGGCGAGGTAGGAGAAGCGAAGCTGGTCTGGCGTTTGTATCAAACCCATCCGATGACGGCGCATCTCCAGCAGCACTTCACGGATACGCACCGAAGACGGGTCTTTACGGAGAGACATCTGTAAAAATAACAGAAAAACACTCCTTTTAAATCTGTTACTTCTGTGAAAATAATAGCAAAACATTGTTCTTGCATCTGCAAAGAATAATAGCAAAACAGCCATCTTACATTAGTAAAAATAATAGCAAAATGCCATTTTTACATCTGTAAAAATAACAGAAATACGCCTATATTACATTTGCAAAAAATCAAAATAAAAAGCAGAAAAACGACGTTTATACTTCTTTAAAAACAACAGCAAAAATCAGCTTCCAGACTAAAACTTTGTCTTGTTCCATTGGAAACATTAAACTACGACTCTGCTAATGAGCCTTTACGAACCAAAAGGAGGCAGGTGTCCACGAGACAGAAGGTCCCGGAGCGTCCGATGCCGGCGCTGCAGTGTACCACCACTGGCCCGTGCTCCGCATTCAGACAGCCCGACTCGCGCACCTTGAAGAGGAAGTTGAGGAAGGAGGCGGGAGACTCTGGGACCCCGAAGTCAGGCCAGGTTGTGTAGTGAAAATGTAAAATTTCACGTGTCTCCTGAGTCTGCAGGGGCAGAGCAGAGTGAAAACGATCAGAAGAAATCCAGTGAAAGCAAGAAGGACTTTTTTCTTCTTTTTTTTTTTGCTATGCAAATTATTTCTCAGAACTGAAAACGGCAAAGAAAAGCTGCAGTTTCAGCAAATGAAACTGAGAAAACATGGATAAGAGAAGCGAAAAGAAGGAAATTTGTTTCATATGTTTCAGTTCTTCAGCGATCATCTCACACACGACTTTACAGGAACGAACAACAGGGTTTCTGCAGGTTTCACCAACTCAAATTTAACACTTTTTAAGACTATTATGAATTAAATTTAAGGATCAGCGTTAGCGGCAGCATCTCCCATTTTCTGGGAAGCTCTAGCCGGGCCAGCGGATCAAAAATGAGACATTTCTGCAGTCTGTTTGAGGCTCTTAGCTTCCTGCTTCTCATTGTCTATACAAGCTTAACCCCAAAGAGCCGAGCTGTTTTAGAACAAAACCCACGTAGCATCGAACGGGGTAGCAACAGTTAGCAGCTATTTAGCAGTAGCCTCAACGACGACGAAGTATTAGTGACAGAGTGACAAAAAATCAAATAAAATAAAGGCAAAATATTATGAGAATAAAGTCAAAATAATACAAAAACAGCCAATTTGTTCTAGTTTTAATCTTGTATAACATTATTCTCGTAATTTTATTTATTTTTTATTTTCTAAGACTCCGTCCTAATGTCTGTGGTGACTCAAACTTTTGCCTGACAGGAAGAAAACTACACAGTATACACAAGATTATACTTGTGTATACTGTGTATACACAAATATAATCTTGTGTATACACAGATTATACTTGTGTATACACAGTATACACAGATTATACTTGTGTAATACTTGTACAATTTTGCCATGACAAAATTGTCATGGCAATTTTGTCTTGCCATGACAAAATTTAATTTTTCTAAATTAATTTTCAATCTTTTATTTTAGAAACAGGAACTTAAGACTTTCTAATTATGCACAGACACTTTCAACAACAACAAAAGCCATCATCACGATGTGGATTAGCATCATTAGCACGTAGCTTCTGGACTCATCGTGATAATGGTGAGGAACAACTCACAGACAGATTCTCCAGCTCCAGCTGTCGGACTGTGTAGTATGATTTGATGTCCTCCGAGACGAGAGTGACCTTGAAGCTGGTGTCTTCGAAGATGACATCTTTCTCCTCCCTTTGAGGCCAATATTGGGCACATTTGATCTGAACCCACAGGAGAACGCAGGTTATACACAAGAAGAAAAGGAAATGCAGAGAGATGGAGAGCTGATGCTTACAGATCCTTTCTCTATGACCCGGTTCAGCATCACAACTCCGCGGGTCCTCTGCTCCCAAACCATCTCCCAGAAATGACCACATGTACTTGGAAGGGGTCCCTAAGAAGAAACGAAAGAGAAAACAACCATTTAACCACTTAAACTGGCAAATATGAAGATTTTGTCTGATCCTTCAGACAAAACCCTTTGGATTCAGTGTTTTAACGAGAAGCCTTTATTTGCCTAATTTTATTTATTTGTTTTGTTATGAAAGCCATTCTTTCTTTTGTGTGAAATTTTAATCAAAGTTTTGGTTTTTGTTTAATACAGAAAGAAAAATGAACAAAAACGCTGCTGACAAATCCACCGATCCGAATCCGTAACTAAACTAAGTCCTCAGTTAGTGGTGGGCATTTATCGTTTGTCATGAAAAACTTCTTATCATGATAAGAATTTTGATGTATTATTGTCTCAATAAGTTTCACTTATTAATATCAAGTGAAAAACAACTGACAGTATTATCGAAAATGTTATTTTTACCTTTTTCTCCACTGTTTGTGTCACAAAACTATCATAGCATTAAATTAAAAAATATGATTCAATGCAGTTAGTGTGGGCAGTTTAGTGACATAAATCACACTTCTTCAAGTAAGAACATTTTTAAATGGAAATGTTTTCAAGAACAGTATTTGTGTTTGTGGCGTTACGAATGCTGTGCCATACAGTCACCAAAAAAAGCAACAAATAGCTTTGTTGCCAAAAACATTTTCATTATCACAATAAAATTCTTGAATCCATTTGAGAAAAAGAAGACGAGTTGTGCCAATCACAACACAGTTCTGCAATGAGCTGGGTGGAGGCACTGAGAGTGAGAGCTGAGCAGCAACAAAGAAAAAAAAAAAAGAGGGTAGACGCCTGTAGAACTGAACTCCAAACTATTAGTAGAAAATCCACCTATTTGTTGATTTTTCCATAAAGTATACCTAAAATATTTTAAAGAAAATGTGGCTTCTGAAGCTAAAATACCTAGCATGCATCTTGACGCATTATTGGCTGGCGTTTGCGAAGCAGCCAATCCATGAGCTCCATTTATGTTCCTTGGTGCTGATTGGTTGAACCTCCAACAGTGGACATAAGGAAGAAAGTAGATGCTAGTGCTAACACAGTTTCCAGTGTGCGTATTAATATACATTTGAAGTTTAAACTATTAAAATACGTATTTTTAGAGGCACTCAAGTATTCAGATACTACATATTCACAGGTTTGCAGGAGTTCACTGTATTAAACAAGAAACTTTGGGAAAGTGTATATTTACAAACCCAACTTTACTCCTGTATTTCAGAATCACATTTTAAACAGGGGATATTTCACATTATTGACATTCACTCTTATATGGAATAACTGATACTTTAAAAAAGAAGATGAGTTGTTACATGATTTCCTGTAAAACTTAATAAATTACTTTAAATTGTCCAAGTCAGCTTTCATTCATTGTAAATGAGGCTGGTTCAAACACAATCTAATAGAAAATAAAGCAAAAACTATGAATATGGCAGCAAGAACCATAATAAAACCTGTAACACCAAAAAAGTAAAATATTTTTATAAATGTTTCAGCATTTAAAAGTTACAAAAGCCCCATGAGATGAAGGAAATGCCCACAACCTGTTCAGCTAAATTCAGGATACAAATCAGGTCCAGATAACCTAATGTCTACATAATTTGAGTCTCCTAATAAGTGTTGTTGGTGACTGGTTTTACTCCTCAGTTAGTCCTGAAGTCGGATCTTTCACTTTTTATGACTTCCAGAGCAAAAAGAAATGTCTGCAGCATCCTGTCCATCTGCGTCATGCGACTCTGTGTTCAGATATCCGCACACATCTCCAAGTTCGGCGCTGCAGCTCAGACAGTCGTTAAATTTTACAACCTCAACAGCAAATCGACGGCTCTATGACGCAGGCAACCAAATTTCTTCCACACACAACGAACTGGAACTAAACTGAAACAAGTTACGAACGAAATCCTCAACAAGCCACGAACGAAATCCTCAACAAGCCAAATCAAAACATGCAGCATGCTAATGTCAGCCTAGCTCAGGGATCTGTAGCCTTTATGACCTAAGAAGGCATTTTGTGAAACAAAAAAAAGCTTGTGAATTAGAGCCACTAATTCACAACTTTAAAAAAAAAAAAAAGGCATCTTATAAATTTAGAAAAGAAAAAAAAAAGTTTGCAAAAGCAGATGGATATGATTTCTTTTTCTCTGTGGGCTGGACAATGATGTAAAAACTAAGTGTCCTCTCTGAGAAACGTGGTGGTGGCAGCATCATGGTAGAAATACACCAGAAAAGTTTTCCAGCTCTAACCAAAGCACAAAATGGTCAAGGTACCTGAACAGAAATGTAAGCCACACTTTTTAGATTTTTATTTATAAATCATTTTTACCACCACGTTTCCTTCCTCTTCCATAATTATTTGTATTTTTGTTAGTTTTTTCCCACATTAAATCAAAACAAAATACTTTTTAACAGTTCTGAAGAGACAAAGTTAATTCAGGAACTGTGCCGCTCATGACGTCAGCATGTTGGAGCAGCTATGACATGCTAGTTCACATTTGTTCATAACTTTTACCGTTGCATGTTTGGGCGATCATTACCTCTGGATGCTGCAATCTTACTTTTTACCATCTGATACTTTTCATGATTCTAGCATAACTTAGTAATTGAGGGTAGATAAGTTTACGCCCACAAAGTAACAAATAGATTAGAATTTTCTCAGCATTCTTTGAACACAATACTGGAAAAGTTACTGGATTTTAAATGAAGTTCAATTTGTTTTTATATGGAAGCACAACCTATATCATCTGAAAGAGCTTTACATGGCAAACAGAATCCAGTTCATGCACACCAAGGATTTTATGTGTAAAACCATACTACCATTAGGGATGAAACGATTAATCGTGATTAATCGATTATTGAAAAAACCTGTCAACTAATTTAGTAATCGCTTAATCGCTAACCGGAGTACAGACTCAAAAAAATGCCATTTGCTTTAAGAACAACACACTCAGAGCAGCAATTAGGCCAAAACTATACAAAAATCTACATATTTTGGATTTTTAGATTAAAAACAAAAGTTTGTCTGTAAATATGTTTTACCCAGAACTCCTAAAATGTCAAAGTTTAAACTTCACCTGGTTCACATTCTGTTAAAAAACACAAAATCTCCTATTAAGCACCATTTCCTATCCAATTATTAATCAGTTAATGCAAAAATGAACCAACTAATCTACTAAATAATCTGGTGTGCATTAAAGAGATGCTGTTATTGCATTTCAATGCCAATGTCAAAATTATTTACAAAGCACTTTTAAAAAGGTTTAAAACTGCACCAAAGTGCTGCAAGAAAATTATAATAGAATAAGTTCAGAAAAGAAAATAATATATATATATATATATATATATATATATATATGATAAAATAAGAGTAATAAGTAAATAAAGTAAAAAATAAAACATCACAACAGGAGAGTTACAGTTTCAGGCCTCAATTAAATGCAGAAGAATAAAAATTAGTTTTAAGAAGCAATTCAGGCAATAAAGTGTTAAGTAAAATTAAATTGTTTGTTTTGTATCTTTTTCATGCTTTTCTAATCTTGCATAAAAACACTCAAGTTTTTAAATGAAAAATCTGCACAGAGTAAATGTTTTTATCCGATTAAATCGATTCATTGTATCATCAGTTGTCTCATAATCCAACGTATTCGTACATTTTGCTGAAAGGTTTGCTTGTAGCTTTTAAATTACTGTCAGGCTGCGCAACAGATACGTTTTATTACAATACAAAGAGATATTCTGAGTAAAGGCTGCGTCTCCCTTGGAGCGCAGCGAGTCTCCCTGGATGCTCACCTGAGTAAGAATATATTTCCTCTGCGCCTCTTCTGCAGTTATTAGGCTGGCGTTGATGTAGTCGTTTGGACCCAGCTGCAGGCAGATTCTGCTGTGGTCAACTGCAGAACGGAGAGAGACGCAAACAAAAGCAACAATTTCAATTTTAAATCGATAACACCCCTCCCACACAGCGTCCTCCCCTGGCTGTGAGCAAAGGGCGTCGCTGGACGGACTAAAAACAGACACCGTGTGAATCTCACCCTGAGAGGTACCAGCCCAGGGATCTTTTTGAGATAAAAACGTAAACAGAACTACTTAGTTTCAGGTTCCTCATTTTCACATCTCTTTAAATGCGAATATGAAAAACCGTAACTATTTGCAACGCCGGCGCTGCTCAAATTTTGCATGGCTCATTCAGTGTGAAGAAAAGAGGAAACCACCAAAGTTCAAATGTTAAACTCTGTTAGCTGCTTAGTTTATTAGATAATATATACTCTGTATGATTAGGTGGAAACATAACAGTAGTGTAATGGAGAAAGGATAATGAAGTAATAATCAAACTAGTAAAGTATAATTAGTGGCTTTCTTAGTTTCCTATTAAATGTTTTGTGAATTTTATGTCATTTATTTATTTTAAAAAGGGTTTTAAAAATAAAAAACTAGAGAAAACATGCATACATAACCAAGACCAAAGTAATTAGCTTAGCACTACTTTTCTTTTTGAAAAAGAGTAGAAAGGAGTAAACACTTATTTAATGAAATATATTACTTACCGACTCAATAATGATCAGAAATTTGTAATTAAAACCATAAAAACCAACAAATATATTACAAAGAAAATCTGCTAACCCATAATAATAATTATTATTCTGATACAAAGTTATCAGAATAATTACCAACTCCTTGTTAATGTAACACATTAAAAAACATAAACTTGGGTAAATTTTGGGTAAGATGATTTCTAAAATAGGATCCGGACTCTACCTTTAAATAATTATTACTCTGCCAGAGGAGAAATGGGAGCAGGCAGCTGCAACGGTGTTATTCGTCAAATGAGAACAAGACACGTCTCAGTTAGAAATGAATATTTAAGTTTGTTTTCTTTAAGTCTGACCAGGTGAAGAAAGGCGAAGAGCAACTCACAGGGGCTGACGTCCCGGTAACGGTTCCTAGTCTTGTTTTCGGGAAATTTGGCAACCTTGCATGGTAATTCACAAGACTGCTGGCGAATGTCCTGCGGGAAAACAAACCAAAAAATGGTTTTACAAACAGCATTATATTATTTTTTATACATCCAAGTGTGACTGCAATGTTTGAAAAATCTAAATTTATGCATGTGTGCAAAGAAAGTCCTGTGCAGGGGGGAGGAGGCTCTTCCTTCCTAAATTTTGTCCTACATGTCAAGGTTTTTCATGCTGAAGAAGTTTATGTAAAACATAGACACCTGTAGCTCATAAGTTTACTAAACACTATCATGAATATAAATATATAAAACGTAGTCCTTCGGAGATTTATTTAATCATTCTTTTAACAGGGTGAGATGATTTTAACCATTTAAAGTTCTGACACAGCCAGTTTATAGAGTGAATTTAGGAAGATTTCCAAAGATAATGCATCTCAAAACATCTAAACCTGTCCCAATATACCCCAAAAACATAAACCTCTCAATATATAAATCTTTTAAAAAGCAGAAATTTCCACAATGTCACCAACTGGTCTAGTTCAAGGCCTGTTAATTATCATGATTGATTGCAGCTAGTAGGTTCTCAATGCATCATAAGCTGAATTAATCAATACTGAAGACAATGGGCGATCTAAAATATTAAAGGTAAGGTAATTTTATTTATATAGCACATTTCAGCAACAAGGCAACACAACGTGCTTAAACAAATGAAAAGTTGTTTCTGGACTCTTACAGACTCCAAGATTGAAACAACTGAACACAGTTCAAACCTCATATTCAGATGTGATACCAATGATCCAACAGAACCTCTACAGCTGACCTCAACCAGGACCTCAAAAATGTGTAAACGATGTATGACTATCCGGAAAAATAATACGGTTTTTGTTCGTTTTTAAGGTACTTAAATTGTAAGCTACATAATTATCTTACAAAACTGTAAGATAACTAAAAGCCCCAAATAACTAAAAATAACTAAAAGCCCCAAATGAATAACATCCACGGTTATTCAAATGTAAAAAGTGTAAATGGCGAGAAAAAACAAGTCATTAGCTTTAAAGAATGTTTCTATTGACAGGATAAGATTATTAAATGAGATTAAAGACTACAGATTAAAGCTGTGATGGGACGTACTTCAAAATACCCACATACAGTAATAATAAAACATAATAATAATAATAATATAATTGTCCCTAAAACTTGACATCTTCGCTCTCGGCTTAATGTTTCTCCACCATGATCAGCAGACAGTTCAAACCTCATATACGGAGTTCCAAGTCCCATTTTCGTCGATTTCCCAAAACTCGGCTTCCATCGCTGCCCCCGTTGTTGTTCCCGAACCCGAAAGGTAAAACCGCGGCTTCCCGGCAATAAAGCCGTAGTAAACTGTAGTTAAGCAATTTCCTGCGTTAGCTCCTAACTGTCCGGTTGCTGGTAGCTAGCAGTAGGGCTGCATAGATCGCTGCCTCGGCCTGTTCTTTAGCGGAAACACGCCGCTAGCTCCTCCTACGCAGCGTAGCTGCCGTCCTTGGCTGTCTAAAAAAGAGCAGAGTGAGGTTTTAGAGGAATTAGCAAGCTGTTCTGTGATATCCGAAGTTGATTTACAAGTTCTTGTCATATTCGGAGTACAACTCCATTACTAGGAGGATCCGCTTACCATTCTTACAACAATGGCAAAGACTGACGTGCGAGGGCGCGCGGAGGCATCTTGCTTCTGGAAAGAAATGCGTTCGATTTGTCAGGGAGCGCGCACGCAGGTTTACGTTGAGGTCTGAGTGGAAAGGTTACGTCGTCGTGTGGCGCCATATTGGGAGTGGAAAGTTCGCTTTGAAGGCAGTATATTTTAAACCCAATTTTGAGAATAAACTTTATATAAGTGTTTAATT